CGTCGCCGTCGTCGTCGTCGTCGTCGCCGTCGTCGTCGTCGTCGTCGTCGTCCTACTCCCCCTCTGCTTTAACGCTGCTAGCTCGCCCGCCAAGCCCCAGCCCCGGCCCGTACTTCGAAAGCAGTGGCTGTCTCTCTCGCACCTACGGTCGTAGGCACGAAGCCGCGACGCTCGGCGCTCTGTCGGGCATTTCGCCGGAAACCGACGCCGCGCACGGATCTCAAGCGACTCCACCAGTAGTCTCTCTCCCGTCCGACCGAACGTTCCTGTACGTGTACGCACGCATATACACAGGCATACAGAGCCAGTCAGACAGTCAGCCATCGGCTACGGAGTGCTAGCGCCTGTACACACGCACACGTTCACACAGGGATCCAGTCGCGCGGCACAGACGAGAGCGGAGCGAAGCAGTTGACGGACGGCGACTCCCGAGAGAGAGGCTCGCGCACACGCTTACCAGTAGCAGAGCTCGAGACAAGCGACGATCGCGCGTCCAGCAGGCCTCCAGAGAGCCCGGACGAGCCACGAGGAGTACCAGCAGCGCGTTACCGACCCACCATCACCCCCTGCACCCTTCCATCAACTCGTACGTGCCACCCACGCACACGAGAGCGCGGCCACGCACATTCAATTCAAACCAACCACTCGCCCACACCACACGACACACACAGAACCGGCAGCATGAGTACCAAGGAGAATAGCGAGGTCGCCGTGGAGAAGGTGACGGAAAACGACAAGCCCATCTCGGACGCCAAGTGCGAGCTCAAGGGCATCAAGAGGGCGGCCGAGGTGAGTAGTCCTACTTGCTTATTTTTACGTCCTTCGAGAGTTCGATACTTTTCGTCCCTCTTATGCTCGTGTCGTATTTACGGTACGGGAAGACGACTCCCCGTAAGGTGGAACTGATGAAGGATGGATGAACAGACAGACACAGAGAGAGAGAGAGAGAGAGAGAGAGAGAGTGAGTGAGTGAGTGAGTGAGTGAGTGCGTTAGTGCGTGAGTGAGCGAAAGCGAGTGAGTGAGAGAGAGAGAGAGAGAGAGAGAGAGAGATTGTGAACGAACGAGTGAGTGAGATCCCGCGCGCGTTAAAGCGAACGAGCGGGTGAACGAGTAAGCACGAGAACACGAGAGCACGAGAGCACGAGAGCAAGATAGAGAGAGGGAGATAAAAAAGAGCGTGCGCGTGACGCCGCGATTCATCCGCAGGCAGCCGTCGTCGGGTTGCGCTCCTCCTCGAGAACGAGGTGCTGCTACTACACGCCGGCCGGCATCCCGGCGCCGCAGCGGTATGCGTGCGCGCGTGATTCTCGACTCCATTTTCTTTTTCGCGCTGCTCGACCGCTGTCGTAGGTTTTTCGCGCCCTTCCTTTTGCGCTCTCTCTCTCTCTCTCTCTCTCTCTCTCTCTCTCCATTCTTCATACTCGATCACGATTTCGATCTTGCTTTGCTGCCGAGTGTTTCAAGCCTTATCCAGGTTGCCGGACGCCCGCGGTGGCGATTGCGACGCCGTGCTTCTCGACCTTTCCATCGGGAGAGCGAGCGAGAGGGTTGATCGTCTCGGAGGCGAAAAAATGGCGCGCCGAGCGCCATGAGGCCGCGCGAATCGACGCGAGAGAGACGGAGGAGTACGAGCGCGAAAACTCAAAGTCGGCCTACGGCGTGCGTGGCTCGGCACGGCTACGCTTCCGGCCGATCTCCGGGTACGTTCTTCGCACGCCGGTTAGACGCTTGGGACGCGTGGCCTTGGTGCGCACGTAACGGCGGCTCGCATATCAGGAAGTGAGCGTCGTTGCGCGCCGCTACACGCCACTCTGCCATCATCGCCATGTGCTCCTTTCTTTCTTTTCCTCGGCTCCGCGACCGTCTGCTGCTCTAATTCGTATTTATGGCTCTTATCGCGTCTCCTTCAGGCCCAATTTGTCCCAATTGTCATTCGACTGGATAATTCCCGGGCGCAATTTAGCCGTGTCCCGATCATTGATTTTTCTCGCGTGAACGCCGCTTGCCTTGCCCCAACGTGCTTCGAAAGCGCGCGCGTTGGTAGAATCCAAGGGACGCCGCCATTTTTATCTATCGCTGTCAGTGTGTGCTGCGAGAGGGAGAGGGCATGCGTGTATTTGTTTTTATGCGTGCGTGAGCGCCCGCGAGAGATGAATTCGAATCGTCGGGTCGCGAGGAGGATGAGGTGAGGTCCTCGTCGACGGGAGGGCAAACGTGGTGATAAGCCGTGTCACGTCGGTGGGCGGCAGACATTCGTAACGGGGAGAGAGCATGTAATCCCGCGTATTTTCACCCCGTGTTGTTACCAAGTTTATTTTACGTGTGTGTGTGTGTGTCGTGGGTGGGTTGTTATGTCGAGGGGCATGCGTCCACCCGTCCGTCCGAGCGTGCGTACGTGCGCACGCACGCATGTTCGTACGTACGTACGTAAGGGCACGAGGCCGTGTTGCTGCTCCATTATGGCCGACTATGCCGCGCGAAAGTAACGCCGCGTCTCTTCGCGCGTTCTTTCTTCCATTCATCCTATTATGCATTTCACGATTGTGTCTCGCCTTGCCCCGTCGTTCGATCGCTTATTTGTATCTTCGAGAGTGTTTTCTCATCCATGTTCGACTATTATTGCTCGATAATTTTACGAGCGCGAGGACATGCGCTTGCGAGCGAAAGCGGCAGACGGGGGCAGCAGCTACGATGATAATTGGACATTGATTTGTGAATTATTGTTGTGTTAAGTAGTAGCGGACGTCGTGTAAGGAATCAGATTCATGTAGCATATATACAGCAAGAAGAGAGCGCCACTGATATCAAACTTCCTCCTCACATAATAATTGTTTACGAAACACGCCGACGCGTTGTTTCTTTATCTCTCTCTCTCTCTCTCTCTCTCTCTCTCTCTCTCTCTCTTGCTCGCTCGCTCCCTCGCTCCCTCGTTCGTGGACGCCATGAGCTATTGCATGATGTGTGCGTGTCTCTCTGTCTTTCTCCCTTTCATTCGCCACATGCGGTTCCGTTCTATATACAGCTATATAACTGCTGCCATCGTCGCCGCTGCTGTAGCTCTCTATAGTGCTACTACATCACCATCCCACCACCACCACCATCACCACCATCATCATCGCAATCGTCATCGTCATCTCACCGCCACCTTTCCACCAACGCCAATGCTATTATAAAACTACTCTACTAGTGTGCTTCTTGTTTGTACTGTACTACCTAAGCTATTACTGTTGCTATTGCAGCTACGCTATACTACTACTATTCGTCCTTCTTGTCTCGTAGATAAAAATACGTAAAAATATTTCTGAAAATATTCTAGCAGTTTTTCTCCTTTGCGTCTTGTCCTCCGCTCTTGTTGTCTATTTCTTTCTTTCTCACCCGATTACCGTTCTCTGACGAGCAACGTATTTATTAAGAGAGATTGGTCATTCGACTAGGCAATGCAAAAATGACGTCTTATCATGAACGTTATTTAATGGATTGACGGTATTGTGACCGAGCGATTTACGAAGCACGTGAACGTCAGTATTTAATGCGCACGAATAAGATTTTATTTGTAAACTCGTATGAAAATACTAATTTTGCCGTTTATATCTCTTTTTGATAGCACACTTCCATAAATGTACATTAAATCGTAGATTTTCAACGACCGGCTGTTGTATTTATATCCGATTGCTTAGCCGCGTAGTAGTAATCTTATCTATGTGGATGAAAGGCAAACGTTACATACAATTCATAAGCATTGGGTCTACGGTAATTTTCATATTTCTGATAATGTTATGTAATAAATACTCGATACTCGTCGCTCGTATTAATTACTTTAATTACACCAATTTTTGTCACTCCCTTTCAGTTTTTATCATTTTTTTTTCCATTTCATTTTCATGCCTATAGACAGACTCGTCTCGATACACCCGTCCCACGGTAATGTATCATCACTACGAGAAGAAGCCTCACGGCATTGTGGAGGTGAAAATAGATATATACGACAGAGAGGCAGACATACGGACAGACGGGCTCACTGACTGACTGAAGGAGGGAGGGAGACAGATGTATAGATACATAGATAGAATTATAGAGGGAGGGCGAGTGAGAGAGTGAGAGAGGGGGGGGGGTAGAAATAGATAGCCGGCGTAGCAGCGCAGGCTTTTCCCTCCGAAATCTGCCGGTCGATGCGTGTTTGTGCGTCTTTCATTCTCCATCCCTCTCTGCCTCTCGCTTTCTTTCACTCGCTCTACCATTGCTGGCCGACTCTCTTCGCGCTGCCGTTTCCCCAAAGAAAGAGAGCAGCGTCAATGGATAGAAGCGCGTGCGCGCCGTCGCGTTCTTGCTCTGCTTCGACACGCGCGTCACGTGGAAGCCGAAGAGGAGTTACATAGTCGATCACGACTCCTATTCTCAACGAATCTGGTTCGCAAACGTTTTCCCTCCTTCGTAATCCATACGCGGGCATTTATTTACTTGGCCGAGTCGAAACGCTTATTTAACTAATTTATACGGCGCACGAGCGTATAAATTACGAGCGTAAAAATGTACATGTTGGGTGGCAGTTGGATAATTATGCCCGACTTGGGGCTTCTACGTACACACGACGATACAACCCTTTGCGTATTAAATAATCCATGTAAAATTTCTTTTCAGTTGTACATCTCAAGCTTTAACGTTCACGCTCCCCCCCCCCCCCTATGTTGTAACGCATGTAAGTGGTTTCACTATACGCGAGTAACAGACTCGATCTCTCTCTCTCTATCATTCCTCGTGTGTCTCGCCTTCTCGTAAAATCATGGCGTTACTCTTCATAATGAAGTATTTCTATATTTTGTTTCTCCCTATTTACGAATATCCACATATCTTACATCTTTTAATGCGCATAATCATTTCACAGCGTTGGCTGTGAATACTTATTACAAGATAAAGACTGACCTCAACAACTTTTACTTTTTATTTCTATTCTCTTTTTCCCCAAAAATAATCATTTGTTGTATTGAGCGAGCGGCTACTCGTGGATGATGACGACGAACGCCCAGCGTCGCGATTATCGAATTGGGCCAGTTTCGTAACGATATCGGATAATCGCGTATGATTAACGGGGAAAGTGAGGAGGCTGAGCGCTTTCAGCCCCCTCGACGACAATCGATCAAAGGTAGATCCTAATCGAAGGCGACGGCGCTCTTTATCAAAGGAGTACTCGAACGGAGAAAGCGTGTGAGATAAATATGGCGGTAAAAATATTATCTCATGGCGTGCTTCCTATTGTTCCGTACGTCGGAAAAGGACGTAGGCTCGGTGACGTTGATTTCGTGTTTGTCTTAGAGCTGCTGGTTAATGTGGCGAGGACGCGAGGGGTGTCGGGTAAGAGTCGAGTCGAGTCAAAAAGTCAGTTGCGAGCGAGAGCGCAAGTCCTCCGCGCCGGTTACGCGATATTTGTGGAAACGGCCATGTTTTCGTTGCGAGTCGGCGCGGCTGTGGGAGAACGGCTACGTGCGCGCGCCGCATCGCCACCTTCGCGCTCCTGCAGCGACGAAGGCGGGAAGCGCTCGCCGATGATGGCTTTCCGCCGATTGCGGGAGGATATACGGATCGAAGTGCGCGCTGTGTCGCTCTGTCCCTCTGGCCTCGATCGCGACCTCCTGGCAATCGATGTCTAATTGCGCCCCTGCTCTCTCTCTCTCTCTCTCTCTATCTCTATCCGACAGTCCTACCTCGCTCCGCCCCACCGACCCTGCTCCGTCATATCCGACGCCTCGTTTCGTTTCCCTTTGCGCTGCCGCCGCCACCGCTGCCTGTCGCA